AATAGATAATAATGATGCTTACTATAATATTTCAGTCCTTGCCTGTAGTGTGCACTGATGACATCTGTCCTCTGTCATCCACTCCCACTACATCTCAAATTCAACTAATATTTTACAGTCAAGAAAACTGGTTTCATTCTCTACATTTACAAAAGGGAACATGGAGTGTTCCTATATCTGACTTACTTCAAATAACACAATGCGTTCTAGTTCCATCTATTTTGGTTTCAAATACCAGGGGTTTTATTCTTCTTCATGGGTGAGTAACATTCCATTGTTTTAGATAAACACATTTTCTTTATCCATTTGCTCACTGGTGGGCACATAAATTGATAAGTCTTGATCACTTTAAAGACTGCAATAAATGTCCCAGCACAGACTGAACTTCCACACACTGGATTTATCCCCCTTTTCCATGGTGGGGATAGTGGGATGGGGGTGTATATCTAATACTGGGATAATTGGATCGTATGGTTAATCCGTCTGTTTTCTCCATAGTGGGGGAAACTATGTATGTTCCTAACATCGGTGTTTGGAGTTCATTTTGTCTCTGTGTCTCACCAGTGTTTTCTATCTTCTCATTTTTTACAATGACTAGAGCATTGTCCTCTGACTGCTCTTATTTGTGTTTGATTTGTGTTTCCATGGTGGCTAATGATGCTGAGTCTCTTTCCAGTAGACCACTTGCTCATTTTTGGAATCGTTTCCACTTAGATCATTGGCCCCGTTTAATTGGACTGCATAGTTTTCATTGTTAATTTCTAGCTCCTCATACATTCTGAGTAGTGAGCCCTCGTGAGATGAAGGGTTAGCAGGTGTCTTCTCCCATCCCAAGCTGTCCCTCCGTGGTCTTGTTTATTTTCTGTACTGTGCTGAAGCTTTTCTGTCTAAGGAGGCATGAGGCCCTGTCTGCCTACGGTCCCTTTTGTCTCCGGTGCTTTGGGGTTATAGCCACAACGTCATCATCTACAGCAGCATGCTGAACCTTCTCCCTTGTGACTTCTTCTAGGAGCTTCTGAGTTCTGGGTCTCACTTTTCATGTCTTTAATCCATATCATAGATTTTGTGAACTGGACACAAGCTTAGACATACCCAGGAGGAGAGACCCACTATTGAGGAATTGCCTCCATCAGATTGGCTTGTCTCTGGAGTTGTCCTTGATTGCCGATTGATGGAAGTACTGGAAGGCTCAGATTTCTGTGGGCGGAACCTATTCTGGGCAGGTTGCACCTGGGCTGTGTAAGAAAGGGAGCTGAGTGCGCTCCAGAGAGCCAGCAAGAAAACAGCCTCCTCCATGGTCTCTGCTTCAGTGCCGGCAGCCTCCTCCATGGTCTCTGCTTCAGTGCCGGCAGCCTCCTCCATGGTCTCTGCTTCAGTGCCGGCAGCCTCCTCCATGGTCTCTGCTTCAGTGCCGGCAGCCTCCTCCATGGTCTCTGCTTCAGTGCCGGCAGCCTCCTCCATGGTCTCTGCTTCAGTGCCGGCAGCCTCCTCCATGGTCTCTGCTTCAGTGCCGGCAGCCTCCTCCATGGTCTCTGCTTCAGTGCCGGCAGCCTCCTCCATGGTCTCTGCTTCAGTGCCGGCAGCCTCCTCCATGGTCTCTGCTTCAGTGCCGGCAGCCTCCTCCATGGTCTCTGCTTCAGTGCCGGCATCCAGGCTCCTGCTTGAGCTCCTTCCCAGGCTTCTTTTGATGGCACACTCTAACCTGTAAGATGTAATAAAACCCTTTCTCCCCTCCGTAACTTTTGGTCACATCTCGGCAACAGAAAGCCAACTAAAACAGTCTGTTTAGAATTGATTCATCTCCAGGGTAAGATATTGGAGTCAAGTTTCAATATTCCAAATACCTCAGTTTTCCCAGAATCTTTTATTAATAGCAATTGTTTCATGGGGCTATTTTGCTGTATCAGAAAGAAATGAGTTTCTTTTCCATAGACATGGATTTTCTTTTTTTTTAAAGATTTAGTTGTTCATTATGTATACAGTGTTCTGCTTGCATGTAATCCTGCAGGCCAGAAGAGGGCACCAAATCTCATTACAGATGATTGTGAGCCACCATGTGGCTGCTGGGAATTGAACTCAGGACCCTTGGAAGAGCAGTCAGTGCTCTTAACCTCTGAGCCATCTCTCCAGCCCAGACTTTTCTAACCTAACTTCTGTGTTACAAATATCCTATTCATCTCATCAAATTTGCCATACCCCTCTGATGTGTTTTCTCTTCTAATATGCATCCTAAAATCGTCTTTAGCCCCCGCTGTTCATCTGAAACCAGAAGAGCCAGAAGACAAGAGGGCAAAGAAACTTGGGGCTATCATTTTTCTTTTTTTTTTTTTCTTTTGAGATTTTTCTGGAAAAGCACTCTTGAAAGATAAACCGCCTACCAACAACTCTTTACTTTTTTAAAAAGATTTAATTTATTTTTCAATTATGTGTATCTGTATGTGTTTGTACATGGAGGTGCCCAGTGAGGCCAGAGATATCAGGTCCCCCTTGGAAGCTGGAGTTACAGGCAGTTGTGTGCCGTTTACTGTGGGTGCTAGAACTCAAACTAGAAGAGCGGCGGTGCTCTGAACTTCCGATCCTTCCCTCCAGCCCTGCGTGTTCCATCTTTTTCCCTCCATACTTGCATCTAAAAGAACAACAACAAAAACCACAGAAAACTGAACTGCTCACAAATTACGTCACTGACATCATTACTACTTAACAAACCACAGAAGAGCAAGGCAGACGCTGTGGGCAGAGAGGCTTGTGGAACCGTGGGAGAGGACCTGTTTGGTGGGATCGTACTTGTGGCACCAACATCACATCTCAGAGCCCTTACCCTGGCCATGTTTGTCCTTGGAGCTATCCTCTAAAGTAATGTACAATAACGCTGCACTCATAAAATGGGCTCCCAGGAAGAGGGGAGGCCAGAAACCATTCAAAGATGCCGTCCCTGTTTGCAGAGAACGTGCCCCCTCTCGGAGAAAGAAAGTGGTGCCGCAAAAATGGTGTTCGGGGGTGGAAGGGACATGCTCACACTGCAAGGCTGAGCCTGCTTGCCACTGCGACCTCTGGCTTTCCTTCTTGGGTGTCCCCTTCCACCTTCTCTGGGTTCTTATGCTTTATTAGCTTAGCATTTTCCTGTAAGCTTTTATCAAAGCTATATGACTTGGGGATGCCTTAGATCTTTAGTCATATTCCTCATCTAAAAATCAGGCGTAAATATCAAAATTATGTAAATCCTGCCTAGCAAGCAAATGGGAGATTATAATCGAATAAGCACCTGCATCTTATCACTAAGTCCATGAGGAGGCACAAAAGGCCCTGAGGGTGGATGACAAGCAGCCACAGCTGTCTCGGGCCACTGCTTCCTCAGAGAACCCAGACCGTCACCCCAGCCCTGAAAGGATCCAAGGGCTGACTCCTCCATTCATCTCGCAAGCACCTACTGTGTGCCATCGCCATCGCGGTTGGCAGGGTACACTGATAGGCAATGCCTCTCTTGGCAACTGGGCCATAACAAGAATGGTAAGAAAAAGATGCCTAGTGCATCGGAGATACAGAACGCTGTACAAGGAGAGAACTGTTTGGGAGATAAAAGGGGCTGGTGTGTTATTTAGAGTAGTGAAAATCCCCATGAAGTGACCGGATAACGCGGGAACAAGTCTGGAGGAAGAATCATACCACCAAGTATAAATTGCGTAAAAATGCAGCCGGATGTTTGTGGGAAACACACATAATAACCACAGAGTGGATGCTGTAAATTAGCCCAATGATCTGATTGTTGGCAGAGCACTAGTCTTTTAAGCTATTTCTTTTTTAAAGAACACCTTGGTATTGTTTCATTTTTTTCTCAAGAATTGAAGAAAGACCTTGTAAGCCTCAATATTCTTCTTGTTGGGCGCTGCAGAGCCTTACCGTTACTGCTGCTGATATAAAACACTACCTGCCATCCCATTTCGTCTTCTCATATAAGCTACATGCTATAGTGATTCCCCATTTTACAGACCAGTAGACCAAGGCAAAGAGAAGCCAGGTAACTTGGCCAAGGTCATCAGCCACAGAGCAGTGACATATAACCACGGACAACTTCTGTCATAAATAGATCAAGTCATTCTTTGTTCCCTCTGAGGCCTTACCGGGGGGAATTACTGAGCCGTACTCTCCTACAAATGCAGAGGGAGTAAATAGGCGCTTTGCCCTCATTGAGATAGCCTCCATCTGTGTGAACACAAAAGCCATGCGCCCGGCAGGAGCGAACCGTGCTGCCCCGAGAATCCACCTGGTGGAAAAAGCACCTTTGGTTGTTTTGTTCTGTTTTTCAGAAAGTGCTAGCTGGTATTAATAAGAGGTGGATATGGCTTGAGGCTGGACAGTGATGTGTCTCACCTCCCTTCAAGGGTTTTGTACGAGGGGCTGTCAGAGGAGCTGGGGTGGTTTAGTCTAGGGAAGGGAAAACTTGGGGGGATTTGGTAACTGTCTACAAATATTTAAAGGACAAGCAGTGTACAAAGGAAATTAGATGGGTTCTAAGGGTCCCCAAGGGTGGAAGTGGCAGGAATGTCTCACCGCGATATAAGGAAGGGCTTTCAAACAAAACAATGAGGAACCCTGGTGCTCTTGAAGATGAAACAGGCTATTGGGAATGTGGAATGTTCTGGTGCAAAAAATGGGACAGTTTTAAATGGCATCTTGTGGGGAGGGGATCTGGGAGGGATGCATTCATTAACCCTGAATTTTGAAGTATCTCCCATGGCTAAGCAGTCAGGAACTTTTGATCAGTATAACTGGTCAGGAAGTTTATACCTTCAGAAAGCCAAGATGATTGCCTTGCCTGGCCTGTGTGAGGCTGTGGGTCCCTGCCTGGCCTGTGTGAGGCTGTGGGTCCCTGCCTGGCCTGTGTGAGGCTGTGGGTCCCTGCCTTGCAGAGCACACCCACAGCTCTGCGTGTAACTTCCAGTGATAATGGTTAATGAATAACCCTCTTAGGCTGTGTTTTCTTTTCTCTTGGCTCTTCCCAGGTCTCCAGCGGTACACCAACTGCAGCTTCACCCTTACAGCCTGCACACCTGAAGGGTGCACTCCCAGTGAGCCTTCTACAGGTCAGACCCTACAGGCTGCGCCTCAAGGAACCAGGACAGATCTGTGGTTCAGACAAAAGGTGTGTATGTGCTATTTCAATTAGCTCTATAAGCTCTTTTGTAGCAAACGAGGCACAAGGAATAAAATTGACAGGATAAAATAAAAATAATATCCCATGTCTTGTCCTCCCACAGGCTTGAGTAAACCATATACTACCAGTCACGGTAAATTACTTGTAGTTCTTTAAATCCTTGAGATTTGCTTTTTTGTGGGAGGGGGGAATGCATGCTTGGGCACGAAGCTCCTCAAAATCTTAAGTATTAAACCTTGTAACAGCGAATAAGCAACGACCACAGTGCTGATGAAACTGACAAGAACAGTCTCTGCCTTCAAAAAATTAAAACCAAGTAAGAAAGATAGTAATGTAATTACCAGGTGTGTATGCAAAAATATAATCTGAGGGAGAGATTAAAACCTATCACAGACATGAAGAAGGATTTCATGGTGCAGATAGGCTGTGGTAGAGCCCAAGGAACAAAGATTTTTAACAAATACATGTGACGTGTGCACACACACACACACACACACACATGCACGCACGCACACGTACAATAAGATATTCCACCAGGCTGTTTGAAGAAATGCACAGAGAGATCCTGCCTCTTTAGAAGACAAATTGGTATTGTCTGTTACATTCAAAGTCTTAATTCTTTAACACCATAGTTAAGTTTTTTTTATTTACGCCTGAAACTCATCCACACTCACAGAAAGGGACCTGTGTGTCAGGAAGCCTGTGCAAGCATCCGATTGCTTAATCCAAAATGTTGAGAGAAATTTGAATATTATTGAGACAGAGAGTTGCTAAATAAAATCACACTGTGGGATGAGGTGATCTGTTCATACAAGGATGCTGCAGAGCTGTGGAAGCCACTTTGTGTGTAAAAGTGATTAGAAATGACTACACTCATTTCTAGTGATAAATAACTATACACAGAGAAAAAATCTGGAGTTACCAACCCCGTGACTACAATGAGCCTCTGTGGGTTGGGGCCTGGGGTAGGTGATATCATTTACTTCATGGAGGAAAATATGCTCAGTAGCCTGTGGTAGGGACCTACTATTCGTTAATCTTTATTATCATCACCGGCCTGTTTTACATATGGAGAAACCAAAACGCACATATATAAGTGTGTAAAGAGAATCGTCGTCTCTGTTGCCATGATAGACTCCCAAACCACTTGTTCATTACTTTTCTACTGAAAGGATTATGGTACCTTGGAATATTAAACCTGAACTTCCTACCAGTAAATGGGGAATAAAATGGAAAATTCCACATATGGGGCATATGGCTCCTCTCTAGGAGTTCACTAATGATGTTCTCTATATAAAGAATGCTTCATGTCAGAGAGCTTGGTGTTCCTATGAAAGGGAGAAAGCAGCAGTGGATTTTTTGGAAAGGGAAACCATCAAATGATACCCGGATGATAATGTGTGATATCTAAAGGTGTTACCAACCAGTTTTGGCTAAAACTCAAGCCTAGGAAAGTAGGGGGTCTCTGGTGTCAGTTTATTCACCAAACCCGTCTTCCTAAGTTACTTTTTAGATGTATCTATTTTCCCACTTCCCCTTATACAGTTTTTAAAGGGTCTAGGTCTTATGCCTTGGAAACTGTAACTTTAAATGATACAGGGGAATGTGCTGTAAGAACTGTCCTCAATTTTTTTAACATTATGCGATATTCCCTCACCAGAAATAAGGTTTTCCTCTGGGAAGCAGCATAGCTATATATCCACTCTCTGGCTATGTGTGTGCATTCATGGGTAACCTGTGCAGAGAATCAATACAGTCCTGATGTTTAGCTTGGGGATACAGAAGGACCAGTCATCAATGACATTAAACACTGGTTCACTGTTACAACGTAGAGACAAACTTACCCTTTTAATTCCCTAACTCCAGCTGCAGAGATGGCTTAGTGATTAAGAGCAGGTTGTACTCTTCCAAAGGGCTGGGGTTCAGTTCCTAGCACACACATGAGACAGCTCACAATCGTTTGTAACTCCAGCTCCAGGGGATGTGATATCTCTGGCCTCCAAATCACCTGCACATGTGCATATGTACACACACACACGCATGCACACACACACTCAGAGAGAGAAAGAGGGGGCATTCATAATTAAAATAATAAAAAGTAAACTTTTAAATTACTAGCTCAAGATCAGTTGATTATGAAATGCCTCTTGTACAGTAGATCAGTTACAAAGTGAAGGTCTGAGATTTGAGAGTGATGAATGCATGTGGGAAAATTTAAAGAAGCCTGTGTTCCTTCCCTCTTCTCCTTTTTCACATCTAAGCATAAAGTGCTGATGCACAGCATGGCCTCGGGGAAAACTGGACACACTTCTCTACAGTGTCATCCTCATCAGAAACTGTGGTTCTTCGTCAAGTATTGGGAGGAGCCCAGGTCATGTTATTACCCTGTTTTCTCAGAACGCCTGCCGGCCCAGTGAGATCAATTCATTTTAGGGTGAAATCATGTAAAACCCTAGCCCACCTTTCCTGGAGCATCAATACTGGGAAAAAGAAAAGGCAAAGGAGATGCAGTCCGCCTTGGGCTCATCTGATTCCTTTCCCACACCCGGTCTACTGATGCTCCCCTTCCTGTACTCGATTCACATAGCTCTGGACCCTGATTGCTGGCTCTACCCTCTTATAAAGATGGGGAGCTGCCCAAGGCTAAGCCTTCACTGGGATGCACCATGGGCAGAAGGTCTGTGCATCCACTCTACTGAGCATCTGCAATGCTCAGTTCTCTCTCGCCCCACCCCTTGCCCTGCCTCGCCCATCTTCCTGTTCTCTTGGGTACCACCAATGCCCATCACCTCAGTCCCATACCCGCTGTTCCTAAGCTCCCATCTTTTTCATGCGTAATATGTCTTTCTTCATAAACCTTACTGGTTGTACATCTTAATTTTTCAGTCCGTTCTTCTTTCCCATCCCTTCTCCCCCTGCCTTTGGTCACCCCCTTCTAGTTTCTCCGGCTTCCCCTAACTAGATTCCTCTCTAATAACTAGCGCTCAGTTTTCTCGTCTTCCCCCTCCTGGCTCTTACCCCATGTCAAGTGGGTCTCAACTCTATCAACTATGTCTCGAAATTGTTAAAGTAGCAACAGCCCAAACCCACCCTGCAGATAAATATGGAGCATTTGCTATCTGCTAATTGCACATTGAAACTGCATTTTTTCCAGTTAAATCTGTCTGTATGTGGTTACAACCAGATCCTCGGAGCTGAACACATGACAAACTTGACTTTCTTTGCAAACATGAAACAACTTCAAAATCTGGGTCCCTTTACTTCATTAGAACCTCCATATGCATAAGCTGCCTTGAGGAGTGCATGCTGGAAACTAACCTATTGCCTTTTTAGTTCTTTGGCAAGTTTTTTTGTATGTGTAAATATGAGTGGCATTCATGCATGCATGTATGCACGTGCATATGTGTTGTGTGTGCATATACATATACACATGCATGTGAACACATGAATGTATGCATGTATGCAGAAGCCAGACGTTGGCATCAGGTGTCCAGTCACTCTCCACCTTACAGATCCAGTCTGTCTCTTACTTGAATCCAGAGCTTGCAGAGTTGGCTCCGCTAGTTAACAAGCTGTCTCTGAGAATCTCCTGTGGCTGCCTTGAAAATAAGTTTGCAGTGAGGATGCCCCATCGTCCTTTACGTGGGTGCTGGGGATTAAAACTCTGGTCCTCACACTCGTGTGGCCAGTATCCTGCCCTCTGTACATCTCCTCGGCCCTTCCTTGGTGATCTCTAATACATCCTTCAAGGACAGAGAATGAGCTACAAGGAAGTAGATTAAACCTTGGTGCTTCATCTCCTGAATCAACAAGTTTGTGTGCTGTTGAAGCTGCTGGCAGAGAAGCCTAGGCCTCAGTGTGTGCTCTGTCCAGGACTGAGGGAGAACAAGATGGACAGGTGTCTCCTCAGAAATCAGTTGCTCTTTTGAGTGGCCGTGCACTTGAGGCCCTTTGAAATCTATCTAGACTGTTTCCTTTCTTCAGTGTGCTGCTGAATACATTATATTTGAATGCCCTGAACATTTCTTTTTCTTCTAAAAATGTCAAAAAGTTACTTTTTCCAGAATAACTTGCATGGGAGACACACTCAACCGGAAGCTGTTGACTGCAGGAAGCCTAATGGGACAAGTGTTGTTAAAGCCCCTTAGAAGAGTTATGAGGTCTGCTCAAGGCACACCCACCTCCAGTAGACTCGCCATCCTACCGTCAGATCCTCCACCCACTCTGTAAGCACTGTAACAGGCTGGGGAGATGGCTCAGTGGTTAAGAGTGCTTGCTGCTCATTGCAAAGAGTTCAGTTCCCAGCACCTACACGTGGCTCACAGCCATCTGTATCTCCATTTCCAGGGGATCCAGTGCCTTCTCCTGTTCTCTTCGGGCACTGCACATATGATACGCAGGCACATATGCAAATAAACACTCACATGAAATAAAACGTAAATAAATCTTAAAAAAGTCATTTTTGAAAGAATGATTAAGGACAGACCCTGAGCTGTGGCTATCTCTGTATATATTTTATTCTTTATCCTGAAGATGCAACTCCATGAAACAATGAATCTTATTGTGGTCAACTCTCCCCTTTCTGCAACTGTCTAGACTGCCTAATGTAATATCTCAGGAGATATGTTGCCTGTGTTAGTTTGCTATTCGTAGATACATGTTGATGAATAAGATAGAAGATCCCTGCCTCAGTGGGAATCATTTTTGCTTTAAAGCAGGAAGAAAAAGATAATCGTGACGTCGTAAGGGTCGGGAGGGAAATAGAAAAGGGTGTGGGCTGGAGACTGACTCAGAATCCCCTTGGAAGAGGCTGGAATGAGACAGATAATGTCTAGCAAGCTGCGTGGACAGAGGAATCTATACAGAGAACTGAGCGGATGACATGCAAAACCTGCATGTCTAAAGCAGATGCGTCCAGTGGAAGTGCAAACCCTCGTGACCAGAAAGAGCTGAGCCTCAGCCACTCGGGAGGCAGAAAAGAGCATGGCCAGAGGATCGCAAATGAGGGTGGCTGTGGCGCTAGGGAAGCATGATAGAAAGAGGTCACCATAGGAAGGGAATGACGTGAAAAATGTAGGAGTCACGTATCTCTCATAATGTGTATGAAATAAGCACAGAGCTGAGTGAGTTCAAAGGCATAGGGAAAGCCAAGGGTCACAGACTGGAAGCACCAGCACATCCCTGCAATCCAGCGCTAGGGAGGGGGAGTTCAAGGCTGGAGCACACCCCTGCAATCCAGTGCTAGAGAGGGGGAGTTCAAGGCTGGAGCACACCCCTGCAATCCAGCGCTAGGGAGAAGAAGTTTAATGCTTCCCTCTAGCTACATAGTGAGTGCAGGGCACAGAGGCCAGCTCAAAAGCTGAGGTGTGGCTGGGCATGCAGCTTCACAGTAGTGCGCTTGCCCAGCATCGCCCACCCTGGGTTCAGTTCCCAGAACTGGGAAAGACAAGATGGTAGCACAGATGTGCAGGACAGGCTGTGGCTAGAGGGAGAGCAGTGAAGGCAGGCTCTTTGTAGGGTCTGCAGAGACAGTGACAGGTGCACAGGGTGGGGAGTGTACCTAGAGATGAGTCTCTGTGTGTATTTGGCCCGAGAAAATGAATCAGTGGACAAGCTCGGAGCTACATGGACTATAGATGAAACATCAAGAGATCCAATGCTGGCCCGTCGAGCTTCCAACACAGAAGTAGATACCTGAGTGACCAGTGTCACCCAGACAGTTGGAGTCATAAGTCTGAAGCCCAGGGGAGAATTGGTATCAAATATGCCCTGGGGAGCCCTCACCATAGGTGAGCCACAGAAATCACCAAGGGAGTTTAGGAGGAGGAGCAGGACAGAGAGAGAAGAGGATGTAGTGGGAGAGGAGAAGAAAGAATGCACAGGCAAGAGAGACCCTGGGACTCTAAGACGCCCCAGTGTTTTTAGAGACAGTTGAAGAATCCTGAGGAACCCGGAAGTGAGGCCGGAAGTATTGCAGACAAAAGGGACACGCGCAGCCCACAGTGCGAGAGGGAAGTAGGCAGTCTGTCTTACTGAACTGGGTAATTCCGGGGAACACCTGATTGTACTTCCTTCCATGCAACCCAAGAGAAGAACATCAGTTTCAAATGCCCAGATTTTCTCTCAGCCTTGATTCAGTTACAGCCAGAGCGGTGCCCAAGCCTCAGGAGCGTCCCACGGCCAGTGGCGTGGCATTCAAAAGTAAAAAAGCAAATCCACGCTTGGTGACTTATTTCATCTCCAGAGCAAAGGAAACGCGTGTTTGTTTCTTCACAAGGAGATTGTTTTAACCCACAGATAAGGGTTAGCCGGCGTGTGGAGGGAGCTGGGCCATTTCACAAGCACGTATTTGTATCCTCACAATAAAACCTCATTGTGTCATTTTTGCCAGGAGTTTGGGTGACACCTCGACACACTATCATCAATTCTACAACCGTGGAATTATATTGGAATCCTCCAGAAAAGCCCAACGGCCTCATTTCTCAGTATCAGCTGAGGCGTAATGGAAGCTTGCTTCTTCCCGTGGGTGGCAGTGATGAACAGAATTTCACTGATACAATCCTGGAGCCCAACAGCAGGTGACAGAGGGAAACTTTGCCAACTACACTGTAAGTTTTCTAAGCTGTTCAAGGCTGAGAAAGAATACCTCCCATTAAAAAGTTATCCAATTATTGCATTAATCTCCTTATTCATTAGCCATGCTGTAACGGATAAATGTGCTAAATAGTTGTTAGTTTTCTGCCTACATGAAATCCTCTTAACATATGAATAATTCATCCTCTATTTGACATGAAAGCATGAGAAATTTAAATATATAAAATATAATGTCCAACTTCAAAAATTTATCCAGTGGTATTTGAAGCCTGTATTCCGAAATGAGCAGCTAAAGAGACTGAGTATCTTATTCCCATCACCTACCATGTCCTATCTCCCCTCCACTTGCTATGCTCTGTCTCCAGGAGTCAAACCACACACTTGCAATTCATGCCCATTCATTTCTCAGCAGACACAAGATAAACCTTACGTCAACAGATGTTTCAGTGCAGAGAACAGAGAATAATTTAGTTTTATTGTGGAAAATAACAGATCAATTTAAATATCTCTGCCTCTAAATGAATCTCCCTGAAATTCAACCCATTTAGAAATAGAAAAAAACAAACTGAATTTTCACAGCCCAGTAGCACACCCCAAGATGTTCCTGAAATTCTCGGGGGGAAAAAACCATGAATGACTACAGGGTTCAACATGGAGTTGGGAGGCAGCAATAAGTATGCCAGACTCAACGACCAAGCTCGTGATAACATTTCTCACAGGAAAGGATTCAAAAATTGTCACAAGTTTAGGGCAAAACAGCAGGTTAGGAAGTCAGCAAACAATGTCATCATGTCTCAAAGATTGGCTGATTATAGCTTTCATTTCTTCAGGTATATTTACAAGTTAGAAGCAAAATCTGGAGGTGGCAGCAGTGTGAGTGAGGATTACATTGTCCAGAAGCCTATGTGGACCCCAGAGGACATCCATCTCCCATGTAATGTCACCACACTGGGCTCTGAGTCCATATTTGTAACAGGGCCAACACCAGGAGAAGAAAAAAATGGAACCTCCCCCCTCTCTCTGTCTCTCTCCTCTCTCTGTCTCTCTCTCTGTGTGTCTCTCTCTGTGTCTCTGTCTCTGTCTCTCTCTCTCTGTGTGTGTGTGTGTGTGTGTGTGTGTGTCATAGTTTAGTGGAAGCTAATGAGATAAGGATGAAAATGTGACTACATAGTAAACCATAGCTTCCTCATAGATAAATATGAATGGTGCAATCAAAACACACATCTACACATGTAAGTCTACGTGTGTGATTGAATACATATACATGTGTTGGTTACCCTTCTGTTGTGGTGGTGTAACGCCACAAACAGAAACAACTTATGAATAAAAAGTTTACTTGGGGTTATGGTTTCAAAGGGAGAGTCTATAATGTTAGGGGATACATGACAGCAGGCAGCTGGAGCAGGAAGTTGAGAGATCACCAGCTGAGAGTGAACCGGAAGGGGGATATAGCTGTAATTCCCCAAATCTCACCCCTAGTGGCATGTTTTCTCTAGCAAGGCTCCAACTCCTGAAGTTTCCATAAATTCTCCCAAACAGCAATACCACCTGGGGATCAAGTATTCAAATACTTGAGTATATGGGGATGTTTCTCATTCAAACTATCATAGTGTGTATTTCTACATGTATATACATTTGCATGCATGCACATCTACCTATATCAATAAGTAGACACATACATCTATCTGCCTATCAGAGCAGCACATTTTTGGAATTCAAAATTCTAAAATCCCTGTATTCTCACTCAAACATATATATATATATATATATATATACAAGACAAGTCAGAGTTTATAATCACTCTGGGCATTCCTTTCCACATGAATCCTGGGGTTAACTCACTGGCCTAGTGTGTTTCCTTCGCATGGCATCTGGGGACTTGGGAAGACACTGACGTGCTCTAACTATGAGCTTACCATGGTGAATGGTGACAACCACTGGATGTTGCCTCTCTATTCAGTGAGCCTCCATTAGACCATTAGTCAGTGCCAAATTGCTTTGATGATTTAATGTGTTATTACATTTCAATATAAGTATGATCCTTGGGTAGAATCCTGACCAAAAGACACTATGGAGATTAAGTGAAAGGCTGGACAGACCAGTGGGTACAGTCCTTTCCATCCTCACACAGGACCTGTTTAAATTCAGTGGGTCACAAAGCAAGGAGTAGACATGGATGTGGGGAAGGAACTTGTAGGGAAGGGAGGGGTCAAAAAAGTGAAAGGGTGAGAATGCCCAGAACTCATTATCTACGTTTATGAAATTGTCAAAGAAAAATTTAATTAATAATATATACATTAATAATGTAATACATGATTGGTTTGTAGAAGAGCTAATTATTAATAGACTATGGAATTTTATAACTAGAATTTAATAAAAAAAACTTTTCCACAATTAAAAAGAAAAGCTATGCTATACACTCTTAAAGACATGTAAAGGTCCACTGTTAAAAATGTGTAACGTCAACCCTGTCTCCAAAAAACAAAAAAAAACAAAAATATGTAATGTCCTTCTGATGTCAGAAGCTCTGATCAGGGAGACAGGCTTTTGTTTTGTTGAAGTAGAATGTTCAGTAGATGTCTATTAGATTGATTTGATACATGATGTCATTTGACTCAATGTTTGGGTTTTTTGTCGTTGTTGTTTTGTTTTGTTTTTTGTCTGGGTAGGCTGTTTGTTGCTAACAGTGGATGCTGAAGTCACCCACCATCATTGTGGTTTTAGATATAGTAGTGTCTATCTTGTGGATGTAAGTCTATAATCTTAATGTCTTCTTAGAGTTTTCTGTTGTTGAATACCATGTGATAATATTTACTTCTCCCATTTTGACCTTCAAGACGGTTTCACAGATATTAGAATAGCGATCCCTGTTGACTTCTGAGTTCTTTTTGTTTAGAATCCTGCTATCTAGCCTTTTACTTTAAGGTAGTGACCATCCTTGGTGGTGAGGTGTGTGTCCCTGAGGCGGCAAAAACATGGAATCTATTGCTAATCCAAACCTGTAGGTCTGAGTGTTTTCATTAGAGAATTAAGACCGTTAATATTGAGAGTTATTATTGAAAGGTTTGTATTCATTCTTGTCATTCTGTTGATTCTATGGTGATATCTTAGGTCCCTTCTGATCAATAGTCCTAATATTAGTCTTTACATGTAGAACTATTACAAAGGCTAAGTGGTGCCATTTATGTAACTGGCATTTATCATTCTATAGATATGAGTAATCTTTTAAATTCAACTTTAATAGCTTCAACACATTTATTTTAATAACTAATTTCTATTTATTTTCTGGACCCAGGAAATGGTTCATCAGGTAAAGGCACTGGCCTAATTGTGCAAGCCTCGTGGCTTAAGTCTTGTCCCCAGAGTCCACATAAAAAGCCTGACGCAGTGATGTACGCCTATCATCCCAACATTCCTATGAAAGAAAGGAGAGTGTGATAGAATCTCAGAGTCCAGTTATCTTGGAATACACAGCACAACAGAATCATGACAGACCTGCCTACACAAAGTGGAGAGGGAAAACTATAGTTCTAAAGGTGCCCTCTGACCTCCACGGGCTCACCATGGCACATGCATGCACACTCATATACCTGCACACACACTTACCTTTGAAATGTGTTTTCTCTAGCATCTCCTCAAATCTAATACCTTCATTTTCACAATGCTAACAGCACTTAGAACAATACAGTGTTGAGATTTTTCAAGATGCTTCTTGAGTTTCCTACCACTGTGTCATTTTCTTTTTTGAATTCAACACCAAGTTTTTTATGTTGGGTATATAATATTTTCAATAAAAAGTCTCATTATGGAATAAAAGATAACCCTTGCTTATAAAATGCAACAGTAGCCCTTTCTTATCTCAAGCTTGGTAGAAATTTCCATCCAGTGCAGACTAAAGGGAAATGAAGAAAGGCTAACTCTAACCACTTAACCAATTGTTAACAAATCTATAATTTCCAGACCTGTCGATATTTTAGATGCATAAAATCCATTACAGAAACATTGTCACACATAGAAGGGTTAAACTCTTAAACATGATTTTTCTGGTGTGTGGAAGGGTTCCAGACTCAGGAAGCATCAAGTGACTGTGCCCTGTGTGTCATGTGCAGTTGATTCTGTCACAAAGAACCTCGTGATTTGGGTAATGATGGTTTTTTCTGTCCTGCGTAGTCACAAACCATGGTTTAAGGATAAGGGAAGCAAACTTGTTTCTAGCAAAGCTGTTTACAGAACTTTCTAGCTATTCCCCCGTATTCAGAAATTCAGGATGATTGCACCATAGAAATGGCAAGTCAAAGAGTTCACATCTCACATCTGTAGTTTTCAACCATGAACAGACTTTAGAATCCCTGGTGACCTCATTCAAAAGCAAATCTACAGACTAAGAGGGGGCTCAGTTGCAAGCTTGCAGAAAGTCCTGGGTCCCATCTCTATGCATCTTTTGAGCTTGATATGGTGTCGCCTGTACTTCTATCTCTCTGGAGGAAGAGGCAGGAGGATCAAAAGTTCAAGGTCATCCTTGACTGTGTAGGAAGTTGGAAGTCTGCCTGGGCTATGTGAGACACTATCCAAAAAGAAAAACACAAATTCTCCACTTGAGGCTCATGAAAAAAATTCTCTTGAGGCACGGGCAAGAAATGTAGGATGGTTTGTTTGGTTGTTGTTTTAAAAAGGTCTCCACCTGATCTCTGTTAAGAGACGCTTTTCTTGAGAGGAGCCTTCCCGCCCGCCTGGTTCTAGATCGGCATCAGTCCCAAATAAACACACAGGAGGCTATATGAATTATGAAGCTGTTGGCCTTGCTTGTCTCTTACTGGCTAGCTCTGCTTTAAGTAATTACCCCATAATTGTTAATCTAAGTATGTCTCTTACCGGAGAATAGTTCCGGGCTCCTACCCCAATGGCGTTACATCTCGACTCTCTGTGTTTCTCCTTCCCAGAGTTCTCCTGGACTCCTAGTCCCTCCTATCTTGGTTCCCTATAGGCTCAACAGTGCTTTATTGACAAATGCACAGGACTTCCCCCAACAGATCTCAAATGCACCACCAAGTTTAACAGCTCTGACTGTCTCACACCAACCCAAAGTGGTCAGCAGCAGTATTCCTGAAGAGAGAAATCGGTGACTTTCTCTTGAATGTACAGAGCCAAACCACTGACCGAATTAGTTGATTTCTTTTCATATGCTTTTTGTGGGGATCAATATGGACAGAATAACCTCAGGCAGGTAACTTGCTGGGAGCAAATAGTCTATGTGGTTGCTTGGCAACAGAAGAATTACCTAGGTAATTAACTGTATTTCGGGTTTTCAAATTAGTTTTCCAATGCTATCAATAAACTACATGTTAGATGGTGTCAATAAATCTGCTGGTAAAAGGAGTGTGAATGCCCAGGGGAGAGGGGACTGTGGTAGTGAGAGCTGATCTCACAGATGCACATTTCTTAAATCCTACTACGTGCCAGATGCTCCGAGGCTCCAGGTAATTCTTAGGCAAACTCTAAGAGGTAATTCCCCATACTAGAAATTCGAATTGTGGAATAATGGTACCATGTGCTCAAGGTCACCAGGCATTGCCAGGATTCAAATGTGAGTCTGTTCAACTGCTGCCTTTGAGAAGAAACGCCTTCTGCCTTTGCTTTGACTCTTCAATCCGAAGCTTTGCGGTTTCCACTGAAAGACTTACAAACACGTGAGATATGTACTCTCCTTTGTGTAGTGGCACCCAAGGGTTCCAGGGGAGAGGACTAGTTGTTAGTTACAACCAAATGGTTCTGGGAGGGTGGTGTTTTGTTGGGCAAGTCATGAGCAGGAGAATTAACTGGGGCGTGATTAGCCCTCTAAGGGCAAGAGTCACTAAGCTAAAAGTGTGTGGGTGAACCAGAAAATTCTGTCTACGCAGCCCAGAGTCCAGAAAGAAGAGTCAGGTCTCAGCAAGCAAGGGAAGGAAGACCCAACTAGGTGGGAACAGGAGCAGTTGATAAATGTCTCAACTACCCATAAAGAGATCAGTCAAATACTGGTTTACAGCCCTGTTGAGTATTCTATGCCCTAGGTAAAGCTGGGTCCATTTATCTCTTATTTACATGACAAATGTCAGTAGAAATAATTCCAGAACACTCAGACCTCTAAAACATTAAGATGCCTGCCCTTTTTGTGGTTGATGATGGACAGCAACATATGCGACATGATGTTTGCTGACTTCCTGGAAAAAAGCAATGAGGAATAGACTTCTACAACTTACCATGCAGGAAACACAAACTTTCCATGCCCTACTGTGTAAAAGTATTCATACACTTGATTTTCTGTCAAGGAATACCACTCTGTCTGTGGATGCTTAACACATGCACACACACACACACACACACACACACACACACACACACACACACACACACACAGAGAGACTGAACTTAAAGAAAAATTTGCTGCACATACATGAATTTTCCAAAGACCACAGCTATTGTCTGATGGCTACATAGGTTTTCATCTTTCAGGAACGAAGATGACAGAGTCAGTGTAGAATGAACCCCACTGCTTAGTTTTCCTGTGGCTGTGGGTAGTCCTGCATAGGTACCCAAAACTCAGGCTCTGCCTTTATAAAAGGGAAGGGGCTAGAGAAAGAGATGGTTCTGCAGCAAACAGCCAGTACTGCTCTCTTAAAGGACCAGAGTCCAATTCAGTTCCCAGTCAGGCAGCTCCTAATTGCTACAACTTTAGCACTGATGCCCTCCTGTGGCTTCCATGGACATCTGTACCCACTGGCAGACATATAAACATACACATAACTTAAAATAAATTAGTGCTGAAAAGACAGTTCAATGGTTAAAGAGCCTGACTGCTCTTCCAGATTATCTGAGTTCGATTCCCAGCACCTGCACAGTGGCTGACAACTGTCTTTAACTCGAGTCCCGTGGAATCCAACGCCCTCTTGTGGCCTCCAAGGGCACTGCATGAACATAAAGTGCAGAGATACACATAGGCAAAACGCCCATACACAGAAAAGCAAAACGAAAAAGCTGAACAGGGTATAAGTACATTTTTTAAGGGCAAGGGAGTCACGATAGTAGCTTGTTTTTCATTGCTGAGGTGCGAATATTCAAAACCTTGTGGTTAAAAAGTCCCGAAAAGCTACCAGCCTGCTATTGTTCAAATTAGAGGCAAGAGGGGCCAGGCTAGTGTCCTCCTAAAGTGTCCTATTGACTCATATCAGCTCTGGATCTTGGATCATGACAGATCCAGCTAAAAGAAAGCAAAAATATATGTAACCTTAATAGGTGAAGAATTACAGACGACTGATAAGCAAAGGCTTCCTAGAACAAAGGCCGTTTACTCTGAGAAAGAACAGAGGCAGCCAGTCCTGCTGTTCAAGAACCTAAACATTCAAAATTATTTAAACTCGGCAGACAGTAATGAACCATTGTAATTTATCAAGATGATGACTGTATTTCGAACTATCCACCCCTTAATCATGTCCTAATTAACAATACCACCGCATTCGGCGAGCGCCTTTTTCTCACTGAGGATGGTGAGTTATTTAAGTTTAAGGCATAATATTGAAATCCTGGCACTTTCCCTTGCCCGTTTATCTTTTAGTCCATTAAAGAAAAGAGTTGGCAACCATGCTTCTTCTGGGAAATCATTTTAATTAATCCTGTGTGGGCACATAAATACTTTTTATTAATCACATGTTGATGAAGGGTTAGTTAGCCACAATATGGGCCATCTATAGACACGGGGACACCCCAGTGGGTGTTGAGTTGAAGTCTCAGCTGTGGGGAATAGGGTTGGATGCTACCTGTTTAAAAACAAATTTCACATCAACTTTTGTAAGTAAAAGTTCACCTTGCACTAATTTGGATGATTCGACATTGGCTGTGGTTTCGGTTTTCACTGTGGAGTACAGTAACCAGATAACCAGGATTGGGAAGCGTCAAAAGAAGAAGTGAAACCCAGTCCATGACTCATGTTTCATTTTCATATTAACAAGTAAACGTATCTTGCACTATCGAGGCTTAGTGTGAGCTAGGCATTTTGTTGAGATAAACACTCTTCTCAGTAACTATAACTTCCGTCTCATGTCCTATTTTCTACATTTTTGGGGTTTTTTGTGACAGTGCCTCACTACATAGTCAAGGCAAACCTCATACTCACAGCAATCCCTCTGCCTCAGCACCACAAAGGAATGGAACTAAAGATGTGGGTTGCCACACTAACCTATTTTCTGTATTTTCCTAGTGAGCAAAGTCAATGTGTGTTTTTTTAAACTGTGAGTGTCTCTAGGTTATTCATTGCTCAGCTATCACAAGCAATCTACAAGGGCTCTATTGTTCCATGATTTTTCTGTTTAACCATTTACTTTTTAAGTGTTTTAAACTTGGCACATGTCCACTGTACTGAGTGATGAGTTTAGCTATGGCATTTTCACACGTGTCAGTCAGGTCTTTTGCCATCATCCCTCTCCTCATTGCCCTCCCTGCACCCTACCGTGAATGCTGGCTACCTCCTTCTGTCCAAACATTCATTGTCGAGTTTTCTGTAGTGTGTATATGTGTGCATGTGTGTACATGTATATAATGCATATAGAATTCATTATTTTTCTCCTTAATTAATATATACAGAAATGATTTCATCATTTCTACAATCTAGTTCAAAATCTGAAAAACAATTCTACTATAGATACAGAAAATATGAATGGCCACAGTACGATTGTAGGGGAGTCCGGCCAAATGGTCCAGCAGGGGGTCATCTCACCTACACCTCCAAACCTCACAGAATGCAGAATTCATTTGCTCTTGGGTGAGGATGATTCTTGTATTCACGTAACCAGCAAGAATGCTCTTACTGGCCCCCACTCATGGGTGTGGCGGGATGCAGGACACTGGAATAGCACTAAGAAGATGTGACATCGTCCCTCCTCTGGGGACCCCCACCATCCATGGAGCGAGCAAAGACTGTGGAGTATTGCTGTGAGCCTCTGTCTCAGTCTTCACTCATCATCAAAGAAGGGAGGGAAGCTTCACTTTTCACCCCGTCAGCGCAGAGGGCAGCGGCCAGTGTGGCAGAGATGCTGTTCTAAGTGTGAGCTGTCTTTTGAAGCAAACGCTGCTATCAAACTGAATTAATGTGATAAATTATATATATAAAGACATATATGTGTATATATATATATATATATGTCTTAGAATTGTTACTGCTCCTGATGCTTAAAGAGGGGATTTAGAAAGGGCTCATATGATTGACTTGTCCCATTGTAAAGTACGCACCTGCTGTGAAATGCAGCCACAAAGAGAGGGGGAAAAAAGTTGAATAATTTAACTTTTTTATTTGTAAAGATAATCAGGGTTTTTCTGATTACATCTTAACTTCATAAATGTTAAATAACCTATCAGCATCTAGTTGTTGTAAATTATGAAAAGGAGCACTGCCAGGAATATTAACCAATACAGCCCTTGTTCTTCAGAGAACAAGAAAATGTGTTATGGCAGCTTGTCACTGTGCGACTGGTAACTCTGACACCAAATAACAAAACTGCCATTTGCACTTAGGGTAGATTGGTTCACACGCATTTCCGAGGCTCCTTGTGCTCTGACAGGAATTTATGAACTTGGGAACTAACCAAGTCGTGAGGCTCCCCAGCTGATTCTAACAAATATGCCTATTTCATTTCATTTAATCATCAGAATATACCAGAGGGCTCCATCGTCTCCGACTCATTGCAGATGGCACGGGGTTTCAGGGACACGCTGACTGTGTGTCACTGCCCTGCAAAGTGATGGCAGTGGTGGGACCGTCTTTTCTAGATGTTTGTCAGTGTTTGACATGTCCACAGTTTAGAGGTGCATTTTCTGTTCCAACACCTCATAGGGGCCCTCGTTGCCCATTAACTGCGAGGTGAAAAATACATTTCCCAGGTTCATGCTGTGGCTAGCCATGCTCAAACCTAGATCAATATTGTGTCCATATCTGAGACACAGTAGAAGTGCAATCTCGCGCCCTGGCCCCGCTGGGAGTCCTGTCGTTTCTGAGTGGAGAAGCTGAAGGATGCAGGTCCTGGAAGCAGTCTGCTGTAGGTGCGGACTGCAGACAAAGAAACTGATTTCAGACAGGGGGACCACTCGAAATTACCACCAAGGATGAATGGCAGATTGTCTTCACAGCACAACTTGGTCACGTACAAATGCACACTTAAAAAGCCATAAAGAGAGTGTGGTGTCCGGACAGTCACTTGCATAAATGTATCATTCCTATCCTTTTGGACTAGTGGCCTTATGTGAGAGAAAGTCTTAGAAGTGTTGAGGGCTCATGAGAGCATGGTTAGTATGTTTTATTATAGCTTTATTGCGTTTCTTTTTATCTACTCTGTCTTCCGTAGAGATGGGGATTTTTAACAATTTCTACCATGTGGGAATGTACTAGAATATACTGCATGTGTGTTTGCTTACATCACTCTTACAAGTGTGCAATGTATGGCCACTGGTGTCATCACTCTACAGCTCTCATAGAGGTGACTTGGTGTGTGGTAGTGACCGAGGAAATATGGGCAGAAAGGGATCTGATCCTATTCCTGTGTACATTTTATGTAATTCAATGGCATGGAGGCATATTTTTTTTGCATAAGTGTGTTTTCCAGGCTCTTCCACAAGATCTACCCAAAGAGTGAAAGAAACTGAACGAACATGTCATCCGGGGCCATCAGCTTCAAGCAATGGCCATGAGTTTAACAGTTTCTGACTCTCACATTTTATCTTCTAATCCATGCATATTTGGCATCATTATGTTTGCCTGGAGTCCCATAGATTATTGTGTTGGAGGGCATTTGTTACAACTCTAGATCATTAAAAAGAGATGTGTTGTTAGATTCCCAGTACTAGGAAAACCCAAGGGAGCCAACCCCAGTAACAGGTTCAGGATAATAAGGAGACAGACTCCAATATGGATTGGAGTGATGAGGTGTCCAAAACACTCCTGATAGAAATTTCTATAAACACATATTCCTGTTTAAAGGTCAAATTGCAAACTGAAAGGGTCCGTAGTTCATTCTTCCATCATCTCTACTACTTCAAGAAGTGCTCTCTGTAGGATGTTTTAAAGGGTGGGGAGCCCAGTGGCACAGTTCTTTAATATGTTACTCGGGTCCCCCTCACCAGTAAGTGAACTGAGAGTCTCAAATGATCTCCACAATCCACACCTTCCTCCCACCCTCAAACTGGATTTTAATTACAGCAGCTTACTGGGAACTCTAAAAATGTTCCTAGTTTCAACTGGCAGTTGAGAATTAGGCCTTGGAGAACATCTTCTAGCTATGTCCATGATGCGTACGCAGTACACCAACCAGGAGAAACATGAACCTATTTAAACATTCTGGGGATTTGACCTTAAGATAGCTTTTCACCCTCTCATGAAAAGGAGTAATACAGATTTTTCTATTGTGACACTGAGCAGAAGTTTCACAGGCCAGGCCAACTGTTTGTTCCATGCCTGGGATGTATTGTTCATGGTGAATTCATTTCAAGGCAAGATGGAGAGTCTAAAATTAAGTTATTGTCTGAGTTTCTCATGACCAGTTCTTTCTGGCACAAGGGTACTTCAGCATGAGTTTCTTCTGCAATCCTGTATGTGGTTCATTCTGAAGTAGCTTCTGCTTCTCGCCTTTTTTTTTTTTTTTTGAACAAGGAACAGTGAGACTCTACTAATTTCATTGGCTCAGACAGGAAAATCATGTGTTTCTATAGTTCTACCAATCACGAAAAGTTCTGTGTTTGTCCTTGTCTTTGAGTATTCTTTGACACCAGGTCACACATGTGTCCAGGATGTGTGTGCCTCAGATAGGAAAGTTGGTCTTTAGAATGTAAAATCTAATTTTCCTGTTCCATTAATGATTGTTTAGCGGGTTCAGAACTAGTCTACTTGGCTACACAGCTTTTTCCAGCCTGTAGTTTCGTTTTCTTGTTAGCACAGCCGGACCTTATCACACCAGACCAACATGTAATCCAGAACGAGAGGCTTTAACTTTACTGAGACTAATCTTTTTGTAGTTAAGGGGAGGGGGAGGCTCAGCGTTAAAGAGTTCTTGCTACTCATTCTGAGGACCCTGGCTCAGTTCCAGCTCACACCTGCCTGCAACCCCAGATTCGGGGGGGATTGCATGCCCTCTTCTGGCCCCAGTGGGAGCTGCACACACGATGCATATACTCACACTCAGGCAATCACATTAAATAGATATTTTTAAAAGAGGGAGGTTACCATTCTCTTGAAGTCCAGTTCATCCACTTAATCACATGACACATTATTGAGATACTTTGTGTTATGTGAACCACATCCACAAAAATAACCATTTCCAACCTTTTGAAATTAGTGTTCTATTACAAAGGGAGAACAGCTGCTCTCTGGGACAACACAGGCTGCTCAGTCTGGCTTGTCAGATTCTGCCCAATCAATCAGTTAAGCAGTGGTAGTGCACATCTTCAATCCGAGCACTCAGGCAGCAGAAGCAGTCAGATCTCTGTGAGTTCAAGACCAGCCAGGTCTACAGAACAAGTTTCAGGACAGCCAAGGCTATACAGAGAAGCCCTGTCTCAAAAAGAAAAGAAAAAATGAAAAAGAAAAAGAATTCTCTAAGAGAGACCACAGGACAGTCCTAATAGTGTAGAAAGTCTTCCCACTGCCTGTTTGTATCCACAGTATACACAGCCCTGAGCTCCTCAGGTGTCTGTCAGCTCTTCCTCTCGGTGGGGCTTCCACCGACACAAGCAAAGACATCCTTCTGTGGACCTCATCCTCATGTGACATCACGCCCTGTGATGTTCACTCTGTGGCATTGTCTATACATTTCTGTGTTTCAATAGTAATGACAGACTTATTGATATGTGGCATGTAAATAATCCCATAAATGTCCCCCACTCCCCAGTCAGTGAGATAATTTAGTCCAAGCCTCTATTAAAGGCCTTCACTCAAAGCTCATGTCCTTGCCTTTAAAAGGTGTATGTTTCTTCATGACCAAATAAAAGTTAACAGGCATTTAATTACAGGAATAGATTGTGAATAGATTACACTTTTCTTTAAAAAAAAACTAATTTCTTTGAGAAGTGCTGGTGAAAAATGACAGTTATTGGACCTAAATTTCATATGTATTTAAGGCCCATAAGTCTCCCTGACAGAGTGGACTGTCCTAGCTCAATAATTAATGCCCTGGGGATTCTCCAGGTAGATTGTGATTTGGATATTTTATGGGCTATTATGTCAAAGATCCATGTCAGACTAGATGCTTACACAATGCTCAGCAGAAGAATTATTGTCACAAGCACACTGGAGTTGGTTGGTTTTATATATATATATATATATATATATATATATATATATAGTACTTTATGTAAACCTAGGGGAAACATGATACCCTCCTTAATTGCCTCATGTTTTAAGTGACAGGTGCCTTCATTTTTATTTACCAGTAGAGTGTAGTTTTGAATATGACTATTATGAATGTTTAAACAGCTCTTGCCTTTGCAGTGCATGCTACAGTGTGTTTGTGAACCTTCAATGCTATTCCTTGCCTTTCAGTGATAACCTTGTGAGTGCCCATAATTCCTAAGGGGCAGGGTCGTTAGCCATCCTAATTTGAGCTGCTTCTTCACATTTTTCTCCCTCTTCACAGGGATCCTGGCTCCCTGAATTCCAGTGGAGTACAGCATCTTACTCAGTGGTGGAGGTGCAGTGCTTTTGGACTTCCCTGTTGGACATCGTCAATCTGCCCATATGAAAAACTTGGCTCCATTCGCCTAGTATGAAATAAGGATACAAGCCTGCCAAAATGGTAACTGTCTTTCAGACTCTTGACCCCGGCTTTTTTGGGAAAGTATCTCAGAATATTTTTTTCTTAAAAAGGAACGGTTTCTCAGTTGAAATACAAAGAATAATGTTTAATTTCTAATTTGAAGTAGACTATTTGCCCAGAAAATTCATCCTGGCATCCAATGAAGCACTGGACATCTTTGCACCTTATGTCATAAATATTTAAATGAATATTTAAATACATGAAAACCAGGCTTTGTAAAGCCTTGCTTTAGGAGGCCTTTGTAAAGAAAACACAGCCCACACAAAGAGGCCATTGATACTACAAAATAGGATGGATTCTAGAATAAATTTCATAGAAAATCTATTAAGCTTGATTTTATTTAAAAATTTTCAGGAGGGAGAGGTTATTTAAGAGTTGAATTGCAAGCCGAGCCTGGTGGCGCACAACTTTAATCCCAGCACTCACAAGGCAGAGGCAGGTAGATTTCTAAGTTCAGAGCTAGCCTGGTCTACAGAGCAAGTTCAGGACAGCCAGGGATGTACAGAGGGACAATTGAAAAAATAAAAGAGTGGAAAGCATGAAGGAAATAATTGAAGAAAGACAGGGTGGGATGGAGGGAAGGATGAGCAAGCGAAGAAGAGATAGGAAGGGGGCAAGAAGTAGGGGAGAGAGAGATGGAGGGAAACCGAACGGCAAACAGGTCAGAAGCTAAGAGCCTGCGTGCTTGGCGTCTATGGCAGGAAACACAGGGGAAACCCCACCCCAAAATCACGTCCACACGAGAGTCACGTGCACACGAGAGTCACGTGCACACGAGAGTCACGTCCACACGAGAGTCACGTGTACACGGTCACACAGGCGCAGCACACTTGCGCCAAGTCTCACCCACTGCTCGCTTACCTTGTTAGCCTCTCCAGCTCTCCCCGCTGCCCTTTGCTCGGTCCATGTGGCATGCACCTTGATTGACGGTTACCATAGGCATTGGAACCCTTTAATTCACACCCTTCAGTGACCAGCTACGAGTCTGTAGGAGAAGCATGAAAGGAGAAACCATGGCTGCGTTTCTGGTTACGTAAATGGCATTACCCAAAACGAGCAAGCCCAGCTTCTCAGCAAGCATTAATTTGAAGAGCAATATTTCCGATTAAAATACACGTGGATGTATAAAAATGGCTGACGCAAATTTGCCTGGTACACTAAGCACTTATTGTAGAGTCTAAGGTACCCATCCTCTAGAAACCGTTTTCTTTCGATTACTTGGTGCTGATTGCGTGGGAAAGGTGCATCCTATACTGTTCTGAACGAAGGCAAGTGGGTACCTGTTGGACAGCCGGACGTGGCTTCACTCTATTGGTTTTGTAAACAAAGCTGGTGATTACAGTGACTATCCCATGGCAGTTCTGGCAAAGGAAAACAGGAAATAGGATGCAGAGAAAGGCTGCTTCAATGAAAACTACTGTAAATTGAATTTGACAGCGTTTGATGGCATTTGATTATTCTAGTCACAGCCAAACAATGATATAAAGAGTAATATGAAACAGAATGTGCTACTGCCTGGCAGACTCCAGCGCAATAAACCTTCCCCCAGTGTGACACAATCACTTCACCATCATAATTGTCGCCTGCTTGATACCTCCGAGTACGGCGGAAGGGCACTGACTGACATAGATACATTTTGTTTTTTATTTAAAGTGAAATGAAAATGGCGCACTGGGGCTCCAGATACAATCGTTACATTCACCTACCTAGGCATGAATCACTTGGCAGTTATTCCAGCTGAAGTTTAAATGTGCTTAGACAACAACAATATCAAATTTTTCTTAGATAGCTGCAGAAAAAAAATCAGAAATTTGTAAGGACAGAAATAGCATGTAGACACACAGTTCTTCTTCATCCTGTGGCTACGCAGGGCCCGTTACACGGCTTCAGCTCAAGTTTGCAGTGCTTCTGAGGGAGTGATGTAATTCCTACTCCATCCCTAGCCTGCTTTCCTCTACCACCAAAGGAAATGCATTCATCTGAAAGCAAAGGCAAGACTCGGCCTATACAGATATTCTCGTTAAATTACAGGAAGCCAACCTGCTGATCTCATTCTGAAAATGCTTCTGCCAGTTCTCACTGGTCCCGCAAACTGCTTTCTTAGGAACTGACAAAACACTTGGTAAAAATACCTCCTCCCACTAGGAGCTTCCATGTAAATGGAGATGAAATTACATAGGCTTTGTAGTCTCAAGAATCTTCCCCTTAAATGAATAATAATATTTGAACTATCTACCTGCATTAGAAGTCAAAAGTGCATACAAAGACACTTTAGCACTATGAAAAAGGAAAACAAAATGATAAAACGTCCTTCTGGATATTCAGAAAAACTTTAAAGGATAAAAATCTAAGATGGTTTTGAAGGTAAAGAAGGAAACTGAAATGATTCTGTAGAACAGATAAGTTAGCTAACTGAGGAAAGGTACCCAGTAAATCAAAGACACGTGAAAAAGTGGATACAGAGATGGGCATTGAGTTAAACGTTAAGTAGCTAGATAAAAACATATGTGTATATACATACCAAGGGACACAGAGCTCTTTAAACTCTAACTTCTTACTAGTGATATTATTACTATATAAGACAAACTAAACAAAAAGTGTGATGTGTAACATAATGTGAGATACACAAATATTCATCAGAAAATCTAGAGATGCATTTACTTTCCATTGCTGTGAAAAACACCACAACCAAAAGTAATTAATAGACATTTGGGGCTTATGTTCGAGGGGGGGGGTGTGCATGATATCTGTGGAGGTATGACTGCAGGAGACCAGAGCAAGAAGCTAAGGGATCACATATTTAACCCCAGAAGGAAGCAGAGGGAGAACTAGAGAGGGAAGAGGGATATGAACTTTCAAAGTCCGCCCCAGTAACATACTTCCTTCTACAAGCCTATACCTTTTTAAGGTTCCAGAACCTTCCCAAACAGTGACACCAATTGGGGATACCAAGTGTTCAAATATCTGAACCTAGAGGGGATTATTTTTTTCATTCTAACCACTATAACAGAGTAGTTTTATTTTTAGAATATTCATGGAATATTTCACGATGTCAACGTTATTAAAATTGGTCCTTCCAGAATAAGAACCTGGTGACTATGAAATTTTAAAAGAAATGTGCTTTATGGGGAAGAATATTATTTAACCACAGCAGTATGCAAGGTTGCATAAGTCATTGTATCTTCCATATAACATAGCTAAGACATATATAATCACTATGAGTAGCTGTAAATACCAATCACTTTAATAAGCTAACAAGAATGTCTTATGTTTTCTTTTACATAAAAAAAATCATGGGGGCTGGAAAGATGGCTCAGGGGTTAAGAACACTGGTTGCTCATCCAGAGGACCCAGACCCAGGTTCAATTCTCAGCACCCACATTGCAGCTCGCAACTGTTATGGATTGTACTTCCTGCCAGCCTGGTCCCACAGCCGTGTCAGCCCCAAATGAACACATAGATGCTACATTAATTGTTAAACTGTTGGCTAATGACTAGAACTTCTTATTGGCTAGCTCTGTCTTAATTATTAACCCATTTCTATTAATATATGTATTTCTACATGATCTTCTCTTACTGGAGAACACCTCATTTGTGTTCTCTCTTCCCTGGACTCACATGATGACTCCATTCTGCCTATACCTCCCAGAATCTTCCTCATCTCCTGGATCCACCTATCTTACTGCCCTGTTGGCCACAGTGTTTTATTCATCATCCAATAAGAGAAACAAATGTACAGAATTAAATCTCCCATCACACAACTTCTGTAACTCCAGTTCCAAGGGACTTGCCACCCTCACACAGACATCCATGCAGGCAAAACACCAATGCATACAAGTAAATCTTTCTTCTAAAATTGTATTTGTCATACTTTTCTACTGGAGGTTTCCTGTTTATTAGTCTATAATCGTCATGTGCAAATCTTTTTGTGATCATGTTAGAAATAACACTTTGATTATTTCTTCCAGCTCTTTATTTTCTTCTTCTTCTTTTTTGACTCTTCTTATTTCTAAGAATGGAATGACTTTTGTTATCAGGAGTAAGACAAGAATTCCAGGCCTTTATTGAAAGTTTCTCAGCCTGGTGTAGTGGCACATGCCTTCAATTCCAGTACTTGGAAGGCAAAAGCAAATGGACCTCTATCACTTTGAGGCCAGCCTAGTCTACAGAGTAAATTCCAGGACAGCCAGAGCTACACAATGAAACCCTGCAAGAGAAGTGTTTCTCTACAGTATTTCATGAATTATTAATCTGACATACCACCTATTCAAAATTCATTATTTAGCCCACTTTTAGAAACACACACATATATATGTAAGCACACATATATGTGTATATGCATCCACAAACACATGTGCACTCATGCATACACACACCACACATATGCGTGTACACATGCACACACAGGCACGTGCGCTGTAGAAGATACGTCTTAACTAAGCTGGCAGGTGGAGGCATTTTAGGTGTAAACAGGATAAGAAAATGTCCCAACACTTAAGGCAAGAGCTGAAGCAACTGTCATGCTTGGCTAAACCACTCATGGAAGAAATTTAGATCACCTGAATGTTTGATTTTTTTAATGGAAGACTTTAACAGGCCAGGCTTACCAATTTAGGTGTTATTTTGTTTGGGTTTTATTGCTCTGTGTGTGTGTATATGTGTGTTAACAGTGAACCTAGAGAAACATAAAGAACAGTATGATCATGAAAAGAGCACCGGATCTGTGATCAAATGATTTGTCTTTTGCCACTTCCTGGTCGTGGTGGGGTGGTTTCTTGGGTGGGTCACCTGTAAAGTTATACAATATTGCACTCATGTATGTAGAGGGTAATTAGCCTCTGCAAGTTATATAAGAAACAATGAGATGGCATGTGTGAATGCTGTGTTACATGCAAAGCAGCTGAAACAGGAAGGTAGAAACGGAAGTCGTAGATACCTATTGGAGAACAAAGGTTCTTGGTGACAAAAGAAGTGCCTACTGTGTCTGTTTTTCTTTAAGAAAATGGATTTTTCTTTATACTTACATGTAGAGGGGAAGTGTCTAGATTATTAGACACCAGAATGACGACAATGGTGCTTATCTCAAGTGCCAGGTATGAAGAGTCTTTTAAATCCTCCTATTGTTCATCTGTTATTGTCTAATTTTTACACTCAACTTGTTCTATGGAATAGTAAAGGCAAAATTATAACTTCATGCATCCAGATGCAATCTGTCATCACTCCCTGGATGATTTTCCTCTTTTCCCTTTCTGTAGACACCACCACTTTCTACAGCAATCAAGGTGTAATCAGAAAGAAAAGAAAGCCCAGTTACCTTTAACAGGAGGAATTTAATGTAAATAGCCATGCAGGATAAATGTGTTAATTGGGTGACTAAAAAGATGAGAAGAAAACTCCAGGATAGCATAAGCGGCGGCTGTGCAAAAGCCGGTGGCACCCTGAGGGCTGGGGGAAGAAAGGAAGTGGACACAGGTATCAAAACAGAGAAACCCAGGGGTAGAACTCTGCGAACTGGGTCTCCGAGTTCCTAGGAGGGTGCTTCTGGCACTGGCCCTTCGGGGAGAAAACAGCGAATCTGTTTTCTCACAGTAGACAAACTTTATAGTGGGACCATCTCCTCTCAAGTGGAAGATCCCTCGCTGCCAAGATGCTCACAGTAACAGCTCCTAAAGGAAACAAGTAAGAAGTTCCCCGTGAATTCCTGCCCACCCTCTGATGCCCACTGTCGGCACTACCCAACACCAAGCTCCTTGGTAAAGCAGAAATGGAGATCTCAATGTGTAGGCTATGTAACAATTATATTTAAACTACTTAAAGAGGGCATTTTGTACACAAAATGAGCATAAGCGACTTTTAAAAGCACAATCTTCCCCGTTCAGATTTATCTTCAGTCTCCTCATAGTGTCAGGCAACGTTAAATCACCTATCTTTGAAACTGAATTGCCCAAACAAGCTCTAGGAAATGAACAGCAGTGAGGCTATCCAGAGAGAGCTGAACATGTAATGTGTGCATACGTGCTAGTCGGGAGGAACGGGGTCACTCCCGTGAACTGTTGACGTCTGCTAATTGGGGGAAAATGTGCTTCCTCAACCTCTTCTCTGGGTGTATTCACACAAAATGGGAGCCTGGCTTTGAACACCACACTTGGGACGCAACACAGTCTTCTCCAATATTGAGGAGTTACTAAGTAATCAGTAGTAAGAGATGCTTCACCAGGCAATGCATCTCCTTGTTTTGATGAATGAACTTGAAGTCTCCATCATATTGCGTATCTAAAATACTGTCGATCTTAAAATTCCCCTTTGGGCAGTGGTTTGTTTGTTTAAAATGAGCCTTACGAAAAACAATGGCTACATCTCAATTTGGCCATTCATGAGATGCTTAATAAAAATTAATTAAATTGTCATAGCAAGTCTGATGTAAGACAAAATGGAAACTAATTTCCCCATAGGACTTTGATATGTATATGTTTGCAGATACACTTTTAGAACGCTAACCAGAGTCCATGGCTGACCAGAGCCCTGGATTCTCATAGAGCCGATCCCTCTCCGTTAATCCTGGAGACACGCATGCAGCAGTCACCGGGGCCAACTTTGGCACACCTACATGCAGTGCAGAGTCTGGCCCGTGAGTGGCAGCAGGTCGTAACGAGACTGCGGGTCAGTGAGGTGGGCCTATGACTCCTCCCTAGCTTGTCACTGCTCGTCCTTGCACCGTGGTGACTGATGGGCCAGAGAAGCATCAGCTCCCCAGCCCCAGAGGTTTTCCACACCCTGCCTCTACGCTGTGCAAGATACTGTCATTGGCTTTGTCTTAATCACCCTTTGAGTTTTGATGGGGCCGCTTAATCTGATATGGCAGCATGTGTGTTCCCCCGCGTCTGAAGAGGGTGTTAATTAAAGACTTCTAACAGCCTGGAAAATATTGATTTATTCAACACTCTTCTCCACCAGAGACTGAGCTAGAAGAGGAGAGCCCTGCTTTTCCGCAACCTTCTTCCTCAGCCCAGCTCTCTACTCCAGCAAGGTGCAAGAATTGGCAAAGGGGTGAGGTCAAAAGGCAAGAAAAAAATATCATGAAACTGTGTAACTTTCAGCCACTCAGATGAAAAGCAAATGCTTGAAACCTTCACGGACTTGGACACTGGGGATATGGAGATGTAAAAAGCAGAGTTCCCCTCCTGTTAGGTATGCGTTGTGATTTCACAGCTGGAGGAGAAAAATATGCCCCCAACTCCGCATTAGATATTTAAGACCATCTTAACTACTGATGGTTCCATTGCCCTAGCTTCAGTGTTTAACGTTTTTGTCTATTCGGTGCAGAAAGAAAATGAGTAGATATGATAGCAACAAAATCTCAACCATAAGAGGACAGAGTAATCTTATTCTCTGGCAGTGAGAAGAATATTTTGAGACTCTCCAGGACTGTGATCAGTTTTAGGAAACATCCAAAAGAAATTCCCGATCCAGTGCTCAGCGTGTGGTTTTCATTCATCTGCATACAGCTGTTTCTTTTAGTCAGCCCTGCTCCTTTGGGAACAGTAGGTTCATCCATCTCTGTGTCCCTGCTCCTGAGTCAAAGATGGTGCGTATGTGTGGCTCTTGATGTGGGAAAACAAGTGTCTAAAAATACTAATGAGAATGTTTCTTGCTTTGAGGGTGTAATGAACAGAACATTGAGATGGAGAGAACACCAGTGGATATAAAAACACATGGAAATGCTGTCCAGCTGCCATGCCGGTAAGTGCAAGGGGAATCAATTCAGGTAGATCTTGGGAAAATTGTGGGTTCTCTGGCCAGTCTGTCCCACAGTAGAACAGCCCAGGTGTTTGGACATAGTGATCCCCAACATCCCACAGCAACAGGAGATCAGCCTCACTATATGAATGCTTTGCAGCCACCAAAGTCATCAGTTATCAGCCTATTAGTCAGAGAGAGTTGTATGGCTGGGGTCCCACACTGGAACTCCTGCAGTCCCTTCCCACACTGGAACTCCTGCAGTCCCCTCCCACGCTGGAACTCCTGCAGTCCCCCAACCACAGAAGGGTTAGAATTCCCCAAACACCAGCCTCCAACCACTGCATATCCTAATCTGTGGTTCTGGATTCAAAGGGAGAACCTGAAAAAGACTGCTGTGTACACACCCATGATTTACTTCTCACTTGGAGGAATAAAATAATGTTCCCTGCACTAGAAAAGACACATGAATTCTAACATGATGTTGATTATTCTTACTGAGCTGTTCCCCTTGATGCACAAATGGTCTTCCCAGCTCAGTTCACCCACGCTAGGTGTTTCCTCACAGACATGCCCAGTGTTTTGTCTCCTGGGTGATTCTAGAGCTTGTCACCTTGACAATAAATTAACCATCATGGTAACATGTTGCCTAATCTTTATATATTTTGTATTTACAAGTTTCCTATGATATATATATGCACTGTTTAGAAACACACCATACCACACACATTAACTCTCATACACACGCACATATCAACTACATTGAGAAAATGTAGTATATTACTGATGAGGAAAAAATATCAGAAAGAAGATACTCACCTTGATAACCAAGATGAGGAGGGATGAACTCTAACCACCAGTCTCTTCCTCTGTGTCTAAAGCTGTTGTTAAGTGTCCAGCTGTCACACGCTTGCTGCTTGCTTGGTTCTCTTGCAGATGTCCTGCTGACACTGGAGACGAGGCTCGTATCTTCATCTGGTCGGAAGGAGCTCTCAAGTTCACTGATGATGCAGACACGCTGCGGCCTTCTTCACTGTGTGAGTACCGAGTCAGAGCTTGGAACTCCAAGGGTGTGGTCCACAGCCTGTGGTCAACAGTACAGACCTTGGAGGCCCCACCTAAAGGCCTCTCAGCACCATGAGCTTAAGTCACTGGTGCTCAGTCAGTCCTGCAAAACTGGACAGAGCCTGAAACCTCCAATGGCGTTACCTTCCAGTACCACGAGATCTACCAAGAAAGCCCAGAGGAGGTAACACCGAGTATGCTTTCACAGTGAGGGTAAGAACTTAGAGTAAATAACCATCCCCTGGATTATCTGGTTAACAGGTTAAAATTCATCTCCTTATCTATTTGTCATTTTCCTCACTTACAGCATAAATATATGATTTATTTTTCATATTTGAAAGACAGCAATATGGTCCTAGGGATAAGATAATAAATTGAGTGTGAGGAGCATTTGGGGACCAGTTGGCAGACCAGAACTTATTTGTATTACTACAAGCAAATAAATGAAACTCTTTGCCTGATTAGCACTTTACAGATGCACTAAATGGGAATAATGCAGTATTTCCCTCAATATTGCATAGGAAGGATATCAAGATAAGAGCATGCAATTTTCATGTTTGCCAAAGAACTAATCTTACAAATGAATGTATGTTTATATGCACACAGAGATGAAGGCAATAATATTCCATGCACTAGAAAAGTCACATGTATTCTAACAAGGAATTGTTCATTCTTTTCTGAACTATTCCCCCTGATGGGGAAAATAATTTCATTAGTTCATCTTGTGTTTTCTGGGAGTTTTCTTTATGCCCAGAAATTCCTTGTGTTCTATGAGAGATTCAGAAATGTTATGGGTTTTGTCTCAGAAACATTTGTATATTATTATATAAATGAGAACTATAGATTAAAAATAAAATAAAATAAAGCATAGTTCACACTGCACTGGGATTTGCATCTGGAACCCCAACGCTTGTCAGTCAGGAGTCACAGTGCAAGAACAGGTGTCATACAAAAAGACACTACACAGGAAATGCCCTGGGAAGTCAACAGGAAGCTCCCAGGCTGGGAGTCCTGAAGAGTAAATGTTAGGGTTTTAGGAGGCAAATATTCATGGTTTTCAAAATATGCCAAGGTGTCATTAAATGTGGATGACCCTTACAAATAAGATGAATGGAGGCACAGAGGCAGGCGGATCTCTGTGAGTTCGAGACCAGCCTGGTCTACAGAGCGAGTTCCAGGACAGCCTCCAAAGCCACAGAGAAACCCTGTCTCGAAAAACCAAAAAAAAAAAAAAAAAAAAAAAAAAAAAAAGATGAACGGAGGAGCATTGAGTATTACTTCAAAAGCTAAAGCCATTTGGTCTGTGATTCAAGCTATGGAAGTCCAATTTATACAGATGTTAAGGAGTCCGTGTTTATCAAATGGATAAATAATACCAGGTCAGTGTATTATCATTTAATTCCAAAAGAATCTCTGTAAGTGAATGGTAGAGTTTAACACTTTAAGTCAACAATAAGCAGCATTTGATGTCAGTTCTACATGCAGAGCAATCCAGTTGTCCTACGTGTGCCACTCACAACAGAAGCCCTTTTGTAATAAGCAGCATTTGAGAGAAGGCGTGAAAGTCTCTGTCTTATCTCAGAATTGATACTTTGTTTTCCTGTTTAGACATTCTTTTCCTATCAACATTTTTCATTTCATTTCTAGATACTTCTTCATAAGTACTATGAATCATAGTGTTGCATAGAAATGATCTATTTTAGCTAATGATTATATCTGTAGGAAAATCTGCTATTTTTAAAACTATATCCGAAGAACTTGTATTCTAATCTTTCACCACCTGTAAAGTAGTTTTGGTTAAAATACTGAAATACTATGATAAGCATATTTTCATCAAAGGCACCAGTAACAATGACCAAACCTTTGTTCTTTCAAAACATAACTTATAAGAATATGTGACTAATTGTATATTCTCCCTTCCCAGTTATACTGGAACTCCCTTGGGAGAGTACCTTGAGAGTCATTGCTTAGCTGGTTTTATTATAAAATGCATGGTTTAAGGATCTGATTAATGCATCTCTAGCCTGGGAGCTTCCTGTTGACTTCCCAGGGCATTTCCTGTGCAGTGTTTTTTTGTATGACACCTGTTCTTGCACTGTGACTCGTGACTGACAAGCGTTGGGGTTCCAGATGCAAATCCCAGTGCAGCGTGAACTATATGTTTTCTTTAAGCCTATTAAGCCTATTCCTTTTATTTTCTGAACAACATGACTTCCCTATATTGCTGCAAATAAATCTTTAGGGTCAGCACATTCAATCAAACAGGATAAACAGTCATTGAGAACTATGTTTTTTTATCAGTACTCACTGCTGGGACCTACTGAGGTTGAGTCCATCAGTGGTTGGATAGGAAGATGGGTGATCAAGTGTGAGGTACAAGTTATTAGTTGGGACTAAGGTTTCTAAGCCCCTCACTACTGGGTGCCTTCCATCTGGGTGTACATAAAGGATTCCCTTTTAGACCTTGCTCCAAGAATCCTCTGGATCCACTTAGTCTAGCTAAATTTCCCCCAGCAAAGAGTTGACATTTACTATAAATGAAGCACTGAGTGTTAACACACAATTTCAGAAAAACAAATCAACCCAGACTTGTGAAAGACGTCCCTAATGTCACTAATTTAGTCCCTTGATTATTGGGGTCCCATATCTACTCAAGGGACCACCAAAAAATCACCCATGGTGTAAATACATCCCTGGCTTGCCCAGGTCTCCCCAGAGTTGTTTAGAGGCAGGTGGAGGTTGCTGGGAGAGCCACATGAAGCAGGTGTGGCGGAGCCATGCATCCTGCTGGAGGTGGCAGTGGATGGGAACAGGCAGCGGGTGACCCTCCGTGGGGGTGAAGAGTGGATGAGTTGGCAGGAGCAGCAGCAGCAGCAGAGGCAGCAGGAGAGGAGAAATGGGGACTGTGTGGCTTCTAATGCATCACTGGTTTCTCTCCCAACATCATGAAAAGCCATCTCTCTCTGAGTCTAAGTAGGTCTTTCTGAAATGAAAAGACCAAAATTCTTAGGGTGCCTCCAGATCTTTGTAGCCTTCCTTACTGAAAACAGGCTTCGCTTGCAAGTCCTTCAACTTACTTCCCCCATTAGTTCTGTGATGGATGGTGCCGTGTCAGGAAAGAGGCTGAATTTAGCCTCGCTTGGCATGCAAGAGTTCCATGGTGCTACTTGCAGGAACACTCCTGGCGAGGCTGGCGAGGCTGCCACCACCACTCAGGTCTGTTTGCTTTTGCTCACTGGCACCTGCCATCCCATTGGCATCTGCCATCGTACTGGCAGAAATAACTTGGGATTTAAAGGCAAAGGTGTTTGCCTGCTAGTCAGTGCTCTAAGTACGTCCCTGCTTGCCCTCCAGAACATACCTTTGCCCAGTGCCCTGAAAGATAGATTGGTATCTCACTCCATATGTAGAGTTAGGGATACGGGGCTGATGGACTGAGCAAATGATTTGGGTCACTAAGAGTTGGCTTCTCATCTGGGCGTAAAATCCAAAATTACAACACTAGTCTCCACGTTCTGATTGCCAAACTCCCTTTCCCAATGTCAAGGAGGGGGCATTTAAAACTTCCTCATGTGCTTGGCGCAGATCTCTTTACCACTAAATAGATTTGTAGCCAAAACACATTATGAGGTACTTCATAATTGCCCTATTATGGGAGGTTTGTGAGTAAATTGATGAACTCATTCTAATCCCATTTTCATTTTGGTTTATTATAATGTAAAATATTATTGCTTCTTACATATGATCTTAAATTAGTTGTGACTGTGACAGTGTGATGGTACATAGCCTTTCTTCTGCAGACCCATTCAAAGGCATGGCAGGAATGCTCTGTTAAGATGTTGCATTCTAGAAGGATCTCTTTCTAGTATGACAAACAATGGTATGAAAATAAAAACTTGGCAGCTCTACCAGGATTCCCTTGCATGTCTGCCCTGTAGACAGATTTTTCACACTTTGTAATGTAGCTAGGTCATTCTTTCTATTATGTGAAATGTCTCAGGGTTTCATTGCTGTAAGGAGACACCATGACCACAAGTTACAAAGAAAAACATTTGATTGGGGCTGGCTTACAGTTCAGAGGTTCAGTTCATTAGCATCATAGCGGGTGGCAAGTAGACAGACATAATGCTGGAGAAGAAGCTAAGAGTTCTACATCTTGATCAACATGCAACAGAAGGAGTCTGTATCCACACTGGGCATAGCTTGAGCATATGAGACCTCAAGTCCCGCCTCCACAGTGACACACTTCCTCCAACAAGGCCACACCTCCTAATAGTGCCACTCCCTATGGGCCAAGCATTCACACACATGAGTCTATGGGGGCCACGCCTGTTCAAGCCACCACATAAAAGATGCAGAGTGTGGATGGAATAGTATCACATAGAATACTGAACGCTTGTTGTAAGGATGTATTTTATTGGATGTTGTCTTTTCATTCACTGTCTTTGTATGATCTCCCTTCAACTACTTCTCTGAGAAAAGTTTATATTTGTTCCTTGTACTTTATTCTGACTGGCTCCACTAAGACTCCCTTGTCTACCCATCAATAAACCAAAGGTGAGTCCTATTGTTTGACCTTGAGTTGTTCTCCACTGACAAGAACCAACCATATAATCTAAATGTGCTGGTCTACGCTTGGAAGTCTACAATGAAGAGGAGACAACATGGTCACATGCCTCTTCCTTAGTTTTCTATTCTTTTGTGGAGTTCCTCAGAATAATGGGAAAAGGGGAGGAGAGGAAAGAAAGAGGGAGGAAAGGAACAAGGGAAGGAGAGGAAGGGAAGGGGAAGGAAGGAGATGAATTATGTAAGAATGAGCAGAGATGTTCTCACCCATCCTCCATTGCCACTGGAGGGCAGATGCCTTGTGGGATTTTTCCTGTGGGTTATGTACAGGACCCCATGAGAACTCCCATGCCCCATAGTCCTCTGAGAGAGGCAGATCTGATGGGTTGTTTTTGTTTTTGCATTCCTTTCTGTCTCTGCCCTAGCAGTCAACCTCACAGCTTCTCCTCCATCCCCCTACCCCTG